GACTCTACCGTCCAGCTTCTTCTCCAGCGCTAGCAACATGTCCTTGAAGACTATGGGAGAGAGAGCTCCCTGCTGCATGCTTTTGAAACGCGCAAGATCACTCTCAGCGCGCGCGGAGGCAAAGTTTTCCTCTAGGATGTGGGCGTAATAGTCAAACAGTTGACGCGGGGAGACGGTGTTGGCTGCCGCACCTGGTTCAGATACACCGAAGTGCGCTGCGGCTTTAGATATGAGGTTTTGCCTGTGTGAGTTGTACCACGCCTCGAATGGCGTGTTACGACCAGGCAGTGCATCAAGGTACGACTTCAGGCTTTCAACAGACAAGTTGTTCCTAGAAAGAGGGTAAGAAACTCCTTGCTGGAAAACCTTCGTAAGGAAGTCATCCAACCCGTTGTGCTGGAACGGGTCAAGGGTAGGGTAAAGGTTCTGCATGATTTCGTCGTCAGAATCGCTGTCCCTAGAAAAGATCGGGTTAATGTAGGTACGGGGCCTACCTAGCGATTCGAAAAGACGCGACCACTTCTCCCTATCGGAATCTGTTCCGGTAGTTTGTAGTGGAGCAGTAACCTCACCCTCAGTTGGAGCTAACTTAGTCAGGGGAAGTTCCACCTGTACTGCTAAGCCACTATCGGAACGCGAGCGCGGAATACGGGCGGCTTCGCTAGTACTAGACCCTGAGGTGGACACCCTACGCGTATCCTTACGCGAAACCTTGCTTACCTCCTGCTGATCTCGCTGAGTAGTCGAGCGAAGATGTTGCGCAGTGGCGGCCCGCGGGATGTTGCGACGTAGAGGCTCCGTGGGACTTATGCTTCCCTGTGTAATAATTAGCTTACGAAAAACAAGATAAGAAAAAGGAAAAGAGAAAGATGCAGCAACCAACGCGAAGCGAACAGGCAAGGACTAAGCAATAAGAAGCCTAGCGACTACTAAAGAGTACTAACCCGCCCCACCTAAGCTGGTATCGCTGTAAAGTTGCGTTGTAATGAGCTGCAAAAATTAAGAGTAGCTGCGTGAAAACAGCTGTAGTAATAATGATTCTAAAAAGTGATGATGTGAGTACGTGGTGCAGCGTAATGATTGAACGACTGCTCTGTGTATAACGCGTCAGCAAAAAGACAGAAGATCAACTCGATGAGGTTACAGTGATTATTCCATCATATCGTTGCGTGGAGACGCGCACAGGTCCGCGTATTCAAATAACGGCAGTCGAATATTCGCTCCCTGGGAGCTGGCTGTGACAAAGCTCGTAGGCCGCGGTAGCTGTTCGAGCTCGGGGTCCAGCTGCACTACTACTAGGTAGCGTATGCGGAAAATTGCTGGGCGAGGCTCTAAGTCGAAACGCACGCCTCTCGCCAACAGGCCTATGTCGACAGGCTCCGGCTCCTGGTCGAACGGATCGACCAAATGTGGATGATTAGGCTGATTAAACCGCCTGCGAAGGCCCTGCTGGCCCCGACCACCTTGATGATGATAACCTCGGTGGCGCACACCGAGAGGGTTACGACCCGCGCGTCCTCTGAATGGCCTTCTGTAATCTTCGTCGTAACGGTCCACTGCAGATGCGGATTGAGGCTAGTAAAAGCAAACGAATTGGTGTGACTCCGTAGGATTCGGCCAGAGGTACGCGAAATGCTCGTTAAGCACAGAAGAGCTCGAACCTGCTGTTTAGGTGAGCTGAATATATAGTATAAGAAAAATGTTAGGCTGGGCTGACCAAGCCTAGATGGTAAAACGAGTAGATCGTATAAAGTATTCGGGATCGAGTGTTCGACAGACGGCTGTGCGTAACACAGTATCGATTGTAAAAGTGACCGAATACGAAAGCAAATCGACCCAGTAGAGAATGGCCCGAAATTGCTGAATAGTAGGGCAGCTGTGCGTAACACTGCTAACAGGTGTGGCTGGCGTGACCTAGCCTACCTAACCTACCAAAAAGGGTGCTGGGAAAAGCAACCCGAATATCCCCTAGGCGACAGAACACCTAAGGTGAACCAAAACCGAACTTACTTGGTCTTCTAGCCTGATTTAGGCTTTACGGCTATGGAATGCAGGGTGGTCTAGGCGAAGTCCTGCAGGTAGCTGGAATGCTGACTAGACGGCACACGAGCGGGCAAGTCGTAATACGCAGCAAATAGCAACCCGCGAAAGGGGCCAAGATTCCCTCCAGGCAACAAATCAACAGTGATAAAGATTTACCTTACCGACTGAGTATGCCCGGCGTGAAGGATATGGGCGTTGAGTGGCCCACACAGGAGTTCGGCTGGTGGAAGGAAGTTACTTATGCGGCTTAAGAAAAGGGAGGTCCGCACAGGGCTTGTTGTCTAGCTCAGAGAACTTTACAATGTTCCAATCATGAGCCGTAAAGCGACTTTTCCAAGCTCGCTGCCGGCTATAAATACCGAAGTCTCACTGTCGATCACAGGAGGCCCTCAAAAGATAAGCCTCGAGTACGACCACGACGTATAGTCCACAAATGACACAAGTGAAACACCTTATAACCCGTGTGACAGAACATTCACACAAGAAATAAACAATTCACAAGTAAAGTACATAAACGTACGCAAACGAGCGTACATTCTCGTCTCGTCCATAAGTCCATCAGCGAAGTGTAAGATGATAACCAAACACCTTACGCGTTTATACACGATATTCGCGTATTCACACCGATTATAACCTAAGACGATTATAAAAGACGGTAAAATGAACGTGACGCTAAAATGTCGTGACAGGTCGGTCCACTCGGCGGCCTTCACGTAGCAGCAAGCATCGAGGTAGCTGCGGATGAGTTGTAGGCCAAGGTGGAAGCCTGTGAAGGCTTGCAGACGATGGCCAATCCCTTGGCGCCTTCTGCTCATTGGCCATGAAGTCCGCACTGATGTCATCAGCCTGCTCTAGAGCAGCCTGATCGTCCCGGCGGCGCTTCTCGGATACCTTTTCTATGGCATTCATCACCACCGTTTCTAAAACCGCGGCGCCGGTTTTGGCGGTGCCGGCCGGCGGGGAGGATCCAATGGCGCCTAAACTCCCACCAGCCCCACCTGGAACAGTGGCGACATTCTCGGTCGATGGCGCATTGTCGTTAATAGTTGACATTGGAAGGAATTGAAATCGGAAAACGTAGAAAACTTGAACAGTTGTAGGTCGGAACTTGAAATGGTAAGGCTTCAAGTACAGCCTGTCACGCTGACTATTTGGACAAGGCTGTATGCTCTTCTGTGTGAAGGCAGAATGACTTCACCAGGAGAGCAGCAAGGTTTAAGTCGCCACTGCGACCCAGTTGTACGACAGTACCACAGAACCAGCCTTAGAGGCTCCGGTCGCTTCGCTCCGTCGCATCTAAGCCAACAATTTGCCGGAGCTCTCAGCCCGGCACGTAGGGCAGGTACTGATGTCCGCTGCGGCGACTGCATTCCTGAACGTGAACCCCGCCTGATGAAGCAGATTCTTACGTGATGTAACGGTTTTGTGGACGAACAGTATACCTCTGCCACTAGCTGGCGGGAGTTCGCGTCCTCACTGAGGATGATGGGCCTGGCAGGCNCATCATCTTCATCGGTGTCCGAACCCTCACCCGATGGTGCATCCTCCTCACCCACGGCATTCACATCATCATGTATACGATTAGTATAGGAATACTCTTATACGTGACCTTCATCTTGATCATGCTGCATGTGGAGCAAGGGCACATGTTCTTTGGTGGCGGCGTTTTCCGCAGTTTCTTTATGTGCCTTCGCTACTATTCGCTACTATTTCGGAGTGCATAGCTCGGAAACACCTATCTGTTTCCCAGGAAACAGCGTCGTTTCCAGGGAAATGCCCTTTCTAAGGAAAAGCCCTCGTAGTACGGAAAACTCTTTTCACATCAAATTTGAAGCCAACAATTATTGGAAACTGCTTTCCGAGCATCTCCTATTGACTTAGTATCCATGGAATACCCAATCTGTAAGGTTTTGCAGTTCGTTAGCGCGCGCTTCTGAGACCATGTCGTATGGCTGTGTGAGGTTATGGCGCGCTAATATGACTATTTAAGCGGACCATTTCATGAACATTGTAAGTCTAAGTTGAAATTGAAAGCCCGATCTTCTGTGCTTACGCAAGTATATCGGCCAGTAAAGTCAGCTTGCACTTCCCAGTTGTTAGGAGCGGCCTGGTTCCCTTTCAATTGGTATCAGAGCCTAGGTGATCCTCCTGGGTGGTGGAGCGAATGTGACGCGACTGGGTGAGGGGGGATGTTTCGCTGGGTTAGGCATGGGGCCAAAGTAACCTACTGTAACGAACGCGTTTTGGGTTTCTCGTCCCGGTTCTTGGTCTGGCTAGCTGCTCAGCCCGGATTCAAAATCTTATTTTAGGCGTAGCCGAAAATTTGGTTTAAAGAGGGGCGTCAGAGCGGCGTCGTACGGTGCAGTTAGTTGGTTGTTATTTTGAACTGCTATTTGATCGGTGGGGTTTAGTCTTGTCGAATTATCTTCCGGGCGATCTCGGACTCAGCTGCTGGTTGATACGAGCTCTCTTTACCAGAACAGCTGCTAGCTGCCGCTGTTATTGTCCGTTGGTCAGCGGTGTGAATTTGACGACCTTTCTTATCGCCAAATCGTTATTTTCGTTATTTTCTCGCGCATCTTGGAGGGCGGTGGATTAGGAGGCCCTTGGTTACCTCCTGACGACTCATTGTCTGCCATCGCTGGATGTTACAGACCAGAAGCTATAAAAGTATTATGAAAAGTGTCCCCCCTGGATCTCACTGCAACCCCCTGCACAGCCCCATGGAACCCTCTTAACGACGCTGCCACCAGCGCTTCACTGTGCCCAACGCCTGGAACGTGGGCAGGGGTACGGACTTCTTCGCCCTGATAGCGACCGAGTGATCGACCCATGGGTCAGGTGGAACTGACTGCATTAACCCCAGCCTCTCTAAGCGAGCCGTTACCATGTTGTTGTGCTCCGTAAGCATTTCCTGGAAATAAAACTCCGCCCTCCCGGTCTCCATAGTGCGCATCATGTTGCCAAACATCTCAATCATTGCGAACGTCTGCTCGCAAACCTTGGTGTTGAACAGGTCTGTGAGCTTGTACAACCACAGCTGCCCATCCGCACCCTGCACGCCCTCATACTTGAAAAGCATCCGGCCCTTCACTTCCTTCCCTTGGAACTGCGCAGGGGACAACCAAGGGACAACCGCCTTGCTGCCCAGCCGTGCGTTAGCTTGCTCTGGACGGCTAACCCGCCCTTCCTTGTCCCCCCCACCCCCTCCTCCTACTCCCACACGCCCCACCCATCACTGG